GGACACAGTGCCACACAGACAGGACACACGGACACAGAGTCACACAGACAGGACATACAGACACAGTCACACAGAATCACACAGACAGGACACACAGTCACATAGACACAGCATCACACAGGACATACGGACAGTCACACAGAATCACAGACAGGACACACGGACACAGCATCACACAGGTAGGACATACAGACACAGTCACACAGAATCACACAGACAGGACACACGGACACAGTCACACAGACAGGACACACGGACACAGCGTCACACAGATAGACAGACACAGAGGATCTGGGGTCTACAAACTTCCTTGCATTGGTCTGTTGTTGTTAAGAGCTGTTGAGTCAGTTCTGACTCACAGAACCCTGTATGGGGTTTCCGAGGAGCAGCTGGTGGGTTTGAACTGCCGACCTTGTGGTTCAAAGTACCCTGCTTATAATGCAACGTCACCACAGAAGTCCTCACGGTGGTGTGTGGCTCTGTTGTTTTAATAGTCTTTGATACAGAACTCTTTGCTGACACCTTGCTTGTCCTGAGACCCACCGGTCTCCATCGGATGAAACACACAACTGTAGTTCCCCTTCTGTCTAGTACCCCTTTGGTATGGGAGCCTTTTCTTACTTTTTGCTTTCGATCAAGGATACAAGAACCTGCTTTTCCTGAAAATGTGTTACTGATGTTGCCACATTACATGAATAAACCAACTGTAAGACACTGCAGTTTCCATGAAAAATTAGACATTTTGCATTTTAAAACTGAACTCAGAACGGATCCCCCTGAGAAGCAGGAGTGGGCAGAAATGCGTGTTCCATGGGGGCTTCAGCTGAGAGTCATGCAGTGAACATGAGCTCTATCTGTCCGTCTGTCTGTCTGCCTACCTGTCTGACCAGAGTACAGGGTAGGACCCTCCTCACAGCACAGCAGTGCTCCCAAGTGCTCTGTAAGTTGGCCCACCACCCTCCTGGAGGTGCACGCACAGCAGACACCGGATCCCCCTCCCACACAGACACGTCGGGAGTGAGAAGGGTCCCACCGCTTCTGAATCGATCTGCTTTAGGATTGAAGCGGGCGATAAGCCCCTGGAAGGCTTTGGGACAGTAAAACATACGTACAGTGCTCTAATCAAAACCTAACATTTTCCTGACCAAAGAATAGGAGTTACTATAAACTATTGACAAACACCTTTGAATTACAGATTTTATATCCTCCACAAACATAGAAGTAAACTTCATTTTTCCACGCAATTTTGAAGTCTGTTCATTATCTACTTTACTCTTATATCCTAAGGCTATACTTAAAAAAAAACCAAGTCAACTTTACCTGAACCGACATTAGATCACTAACGAGTCTGAAACAAGGGATGCAGAGTGAATCCACTGAGCCAAGTATTTCGAGAGACATTCATGAATAACATAAAGAACGTAACTTGATGAACATCCTTCACAAATGTGTGAGCAAAGGTGTCAGCTACAAATAAAACAACACCCTGTGTGTTCAGAAGCAGAATAAAACACTGACATCAGAGCACACATGGCCGAATGACTCATGGTGTGTCCACACAACGGGGGTCACCCTCACTGCAAGCCGTCAGTCACTGAGCAGTAGCCATGGGTCTGTCTGTGGGAGTCAGCTGCAGGGAGCAGCATTCCACACACACCACTCACGAGGGCTGGGGAAGACTGCTTTTCTGCGTCTGCGGGTGACTCAACTTGCTGCACAGTGTCCACCCACACTATCACTCAAGCTCAGCGTACTCTGGGAGTGCTGTGTGGTCGCAGACCGACCACCTGTCTTCTCCAGCCTGGCCTCACATCGACCACAGAGCTTCAACAGCCTAGAAACACGTGGTGATCTGAAAACACGGCTTCACTTCACTAAGAAAGTAGTTCATAGAAGAAATCAGAGAGCTCTTCTGAGAAATGCTAACGAACACTCATGGAACGCTTGAGGACAAGGACGGCACTTCCACAGCAGAAGGGAACGGGCACCAAGAGCCAGCAGCAGGGACAAGTCAGTGGAGACAGGGGCAGCAAGAGACAAAGAAAATGCTTCCTCGGTTCAAGCGAATGTCTCCGGAAGACAAGAGGAGACAGATGAGAAGCGCTCTCGTACCACTACCAAGGCCTAGGTACCTCCCGGGGCACATGGACTAACGACTTCCCCTTTCCGTGTGAAATGATGAGCTGGAGGCTGCGCGGGGTAGGGGTTACGTAGGATGGCAGGTTTGTGATGGGGTAGGGGCCAGAGGCTGTGGGCCTCTCTCTGAAGCCCCCACTAGAGCTGCAGGTTGTGGCTCCAGTCTGCCTGAGTCCGTGCCTGTCGTGCCTACTCTGAGTAGGCGTGGGTGAGGAGTGTGAACCAGCATGGCTCTGGGCCTGAGCCACTACCACCCGACATTTACGCCAGTGGGAGCGCACTGGACAGCAGGGCCGTCCAGGCCCGCTCTCCGGGTCAAGGGAAGCCTTGGCCTCTGTGTTCTTCCTAGGATAAGGGGGGCAAGGACCGACCCGCCTTTGCTGAGCACAGGAATTTGGAAGCAACGTTCCCTTCCAAGGCACATTCTAGGAGGATGTCTCCTGGCAGTCTGCCTGGCTCCCCAGCTCAGGTTGGGGGCTGGAACACAAGGGGCTCTTCCTCCTGTCTCCTAGCACCACGCTCTGCTTTTGTCCTGCCCTTGTTTGTCCTTTACTCTTGTCACAACCTCTGTCACAATCTCCCCAGGATCTCACTGTGTGTGGGGCCAGGGACAAAGTCTGCTGGGAGGGATGTGAACCTGGAGGGGTAGGGCCATCCCCTCCAAACTGCCCAATTTTGACTGCCCTGCCTGCACCCCAGTCTTCCCACCCGAAGTTCACAAAAGCCACACCCCGGTCTCTGTGCACCCACATCTGGGGTCAACCTGAGAGTCCTACCCTTTATGTCACACGTCAGCATTGCCAACATGACACGCTAACACACATCACACAGGTTACACAGCAGACAGCACACACAGGAAGTCTGCTCAGTGGCCACATGTACCTGAAGGAGTGCTCCCCGTGGGCTGGCAGCGAGGTGGGTGGTGCGGGCACCTGCGTGTACGGTGCTAGAGGTGTGCGGGGCGTGCCCTTCCTGATGAGCTTCCCGGTGTTGGCGTCGTAGACTCGAGCCTCGGGGCCAGGCTGACTCCGGGGGTGGACGGGTGTGGGGTGAAACAAAGCCGTCTGGAAGGTGCTCTGCCTGTCAGCGAAGGGAGCAGGGCTGGCCTCCCTGCTGGACAAGATGTGTGTGAGGGCAACCCCAGCAGACCACCCCCAGGAGTTTCAAGACAAGTCTTACATGGCAGAGCCGACGCAGCATGGGGAAGGCAGGCCACCCCCACCCCCACAGCCAGACCGAGACTCAGTTCTACCAGCAGACTTGGTGTGTACCACCCACACCAGACCCACACGACACTTTCTGCTTAAGGACAACTACCCTCTCATTGTCGTTTCTCTGCCACCTGCTTCTGAGGTTCCGACAAGGGACAGAGAGTGGTCAAGTGGTTCTCTGCTGCTGTTCTCATGGGACTCTCTTCCCACAAACATGAAGTGATTTTCCATCTCCACACTCATTTCTCACCCCTTCCTCTGGGCAGCAAGGCAAATCGTATCATGATTTTGTGAGGCAGAACCTGTCCTAACACCTGTCCTCCTTTAGAGCCACATGGCATTTCTCTAAAGGAAAAAGCCCTCCGGTCTCTTTTTTAGTCAGAAACATGCGTGCACACAGGTTCCGGGGGTGTGAAGGTAAAGCCGAGGACACAGCTGGCAGGAAACATGTGCATACTCATAGACCAACGGCACTACGTCCCCTGGACAATACTGAGCCTTCTGCAGCATCATGGGGTGAGACCCAGGAGTGCTGCGGTCCCCCCACCACTGCTGATCTCAGCTCTGACTTCTGAAGTCAGGGCCCGTGGGCAGACGAGAGAGAGAGAGAGAGAGAGAGAGAGAGAGAGAGAGAGAGAGAGAAAGAGGAAGATGCGCAGTACAAGCAGCTCTGCGGCTGGCTCACCTCTGTGTCCTGGTGTAGTCATCCCTGAGAGGAAAGAGCTGCTCTTCCACCTTGTCCCAGCGCTCCAGGCAGCTCCAGAGCCAGCCGGGGTTGACCACATGCAGGTACCTGCACTCCTGGGCCTGGCGCACCTTCTCCGTGCCTGCAAGGAGACCCCTCGTCAGTGCAGGTGGGGCCTCATGGACCCTCCACCAGCAAACCAGCCTCCCTGAGCCCACCGAGTGTCACGTCCACAGCCTCCTTTCCTCAGCTAACCCCTCTGGTCCACTTGTCACAACTTGGTAAGCACCCAGGACGCTGCCTTCCCCGCCCCTCCCCCCACCTGTGCTCCTGGTGAGTCTCGTCAACTCACCCTCCTCAGAGATGATCTGTCTGCTTCTGTCCATCCCACCGACAGCTGCTCTAGTCAGGGTCATTGTGTCCTGTGGGCTGAGGGTGGCCTCTGACCCCATGCTGCAACTAGCCAACATCTTCCAGATAGAAAGCACCATCACATTGCTGTGTGGCCTGACTGGACAGGTCCAACTGACAGCCTGGTGTGACCAGTGAGGAGCTGACATGCACCAGCTCACCAGGCAACATCCTGTAGCCCTGGGCCCTTTTCAGGGGCAGCCTGCCCTGGGCATGGGTGGCTCAGTTAACTGTGACTTCCTCTTGGTTCTGCCCCAACGGAGTGACCCCCTTGCCCAGTTATTCTCTCCATGCCTGTGCCCTCCGCACACAACTGGCTGGAGTTCAGTCACGTGCCCTTCACGACACTCATGAGGAGTGGGGTTCACTGCCCCGCTCACCCTGAGACAAATTCCGAGGCATCTAGAAGAGCACGTGTCCTGTAAAGCCCCAATGGAACCCAGCCACCTTCCTCCAGACCTCTCTCTGGGGAAGGGAAGCTGTTGGACAGACACAAAGCCTTGTGGCCTCTCTACAGTCCAGCTCTGCGCCCAGTCCCAGCCCATCTCCCTCCCTATACCTCCTGACCTAGCGAGCTGGCCTGGGCCATGAATCTCCCCACAGGGCCCCATCCTGGAAGGACCCCTCGGTCACACTATCTACTCCAGAGCCTTCACTATGTCCGTCTTCTCACGAAGCCTCAGCTCTTCTGTAAAACACTCAAGGCTCCAACTTAGCTCCAGCTACTACCCTAAGACTAACACCCGTAACTCAGACAAACGGCAACTTCGGGACCCCTGAGAAGTAGCCACAGACCTTATAAAAAGAGGAGCTAAGGCGTCCTAGTGTGGTGCTGTGGGTTAATGCACCAGACTGCAAAGCCATTTGAACTGCAAGGTCGGCAGTTCAAGCTCACCAGCTGCTCCTTGGAAACCCTGTACAGGGTCGCTATGGGTCGCAATCAACTCAACGGCACTTCACAAGGCCATCAGGTAAGGGTGAGGTACTGGATGTCAGAGGGAGAGGTCACCATCAGGTAAGGATGGAGATCCCTTAGGTGTCTGAGAAGAGTTCATAATTGGGTACAGATGTGAGCCCCTGGGTTTCTGCGGGAGAGCTTGCCATAGGATAAGGAAAAAATCTACTGACTGTCTGAGAAGAGCTCAGTGTCAGGTAAGGGTGCATTTCCCAAGGCCTGGGTGTCTGAGGGAAGAGTTCCCTGTCGGGTAAGAAAGTGGTCGGGTAAGAAAGTGATCCTGGGTACCTGAGTTTGTCAGGTAAGAATGCAATCTTCTGAGGCCTGGGTGTCGCAGGAGAGCTTACTGTCAGGTACAGATGCGATCCCCTGAGTGTCTGAGGGAGAGCTCACTGTGAGGGGAGGACGTGATCCCCTGGGTGTCTGAGGGAGAGCTCACTGTGAGACTGTGAGACTGTGAGGTGAGGACGTGATCCCCCGGGTGTCTGAGGGAAAGCTCACTGTGAGGGGAGGACGTGATCCTCTGGGTGTCTGAGGGAGGGCTCACTGTGAGACTGTGAGGTGAGGACGTGATGCTTTGGGTATCTGAGGGAGAGTTCACTGTGAGACTGTGAGGGTGTGATCCCCTGGGTGTCTGATGGAGACCTCACTGTGAGACTGAGAGGTGAGGACGTGACCCCCTGGGTGTCTTGAGGGAGAGCTCCCTATGGGGTACGGACGTGCTCCTTGCCCTCTACTTTTCCAGCCTCAGTAACTACTATGGACTCTTGTTCCAGTCCAGATCTTTGAGTCCCAGTTCTCGGGCATAGGGTTGGCCATTCTTTTGCCCTGTAAATTGAGGCCCTTTACTCTTCTGGAACTGGATCACCATTTCTTCATTACTGACTTGTAATCTCAGTGGATCCTCTTAAGTGCACGGTTTGGGAGGTAATTCAATGTGAAAGAAATAGCAATGCCAATTTCAGACAAGAAAGGAGCAGATCAAAGAAAGCAGTGCAGAGCACTCTGTGCACCCTGACTGGAGGGAGGGTCGGACACTCACCGGCCCTCGCAGCAATCAAGTGGGTGGCCCTGTTGGGGTCGTCGGGACTCAAAACCAGGTTGGTGAGGATCCTGGCGCCCAGGGCTGTGGCGTGGTAATGTTCCCGGGTCTTCTCCACGGGGAAGTTGGTGGGGTGCAGGCCACTGAAGATGATGCCAACGTCAGCCAGCACTTTGCTCTTCAGCTCTGGGACAATCTTCCGTATGTCCGGGGCCTCCTCAGTCTCCTTGCTGAGGTACCTGTCGTACCTGGTGTAGTAGTCAGTGTGAACCCGGACAAGGATCTCCTCGAGGTGGACCAGGTGGTCATCGTCATCGTCATCAGTGTCCTCCTCCTCTTCCTCCTCCTCCATGCTCTGGTCCAGGGACTCACCCACAGTGATCCCCGACTGCTCACTGTTCTGGGATTCAGTCTCAGCCTCCTTCCGGTCAGCACAGCCATTGCCCAGGTCACACAGGTCACCCTGCTCGCCCTCCTCTGGCGCCTCAAGGTCAGGGCCTTTGTCCTGTGGGCGGACACTGGTCCCGCATGTGCCAGAGGGAGGTGTCCCTGCTCCTGAGTGGGTGGTCACACCCTCCCGCGTGGCCTGAGCCTTCCTGCGCCCTCTCTTCCGGTCACTGTCACTGTCGGAGGTGGACGAGGATGACCGGTGGCCATCGAGCTCACTGTTGCTCTCGCTGTCACTAGACAAATCAAAGTCCAGGTCGTTCCCTGGCGCGCCGTGGGCAGATGGTTGTTCTGGGAACACTCGGCCCCCCGGTTCCGAAGACACCAAGGGTCCTTTTCCACCGGGGGGCGGGCACGAGGGGTCACCCTCCTCCCCACTGGGGGGGTCCCCTGCCCCCGCCTTGCTGCCATTCAGCTCCGTCGGAGGTTTTCCGAGGCCGTTGCTCTGCTCTGCCCCGGGAGCAGGCTTCCCTTCTTCATGATCTTTCCTAGACAGCACGTGCTCAGAGGCCTCAGCACCTCGAGAAGAATGATTTACTGAATGTGACACAAAAGAAAAAGTTCCCATTATTAACTTTAAGACCAAGAATCTTCTTCAATTAACAGTAGCTCCCTGCCGGCAGACTTTTTCTGTCAAGGGTCAGATGGCAAATGCTCCAGACTGTAGGGGCCTTGCATCATTTCTTCACGATTTACATAAACCATCCTGAGCTTGCAGGCTGTTTCAGACTAGGCTGCTGTATGCCAGCCCTTGTTCTAGAAGACTCGGGGAGCACTCTTCCCCTCCTGCACCTCTAGTCTCCTCCTAGTGGACGACAGAGTAACTGCATGGCTCCAACTAAAAATCACCAGCTATTTTAAAGCAAAGTGCTCAATTTTCATGAGCCCAGACTTCACCATCGGGAAGTGCAGAGCGCAGATGGTTCTGAGACTTGCCCGGCCCCCCACTCTACATTTCACTCTAAAAGAACACTTGGCCAAATCTCCACTGTTGTGTTTGTGTTTTTACAAGAAAATGAGAGAAAGACAGCACTGAGTACTGATTATCCCCCTTCAATCTTCATTGGATTGGAGAAAGCTTAGTACTACTTCTAACACCAATCTGAAACCAACTAAACAGTGCTTTTTACTGTTTTATAAATAAACCCAACAACTTCTATAGCAACTGAAGCGTAACACAAACATAACAAGAAAACGCAGAGACTGAATCCTGTGTTCTTCCACATACCCAGGCAGTCCGTCCCTTACCCTTCTTCCTCATCTGAGTGTCGCGGGGTACAGGTGGAGCATTGATGTCGCCCGTGCCCTGGAAGTAGACATACTTCTTCACGGTTATCAGATTGGGGGCAAACTTCCACACGTCTTCTCGGTCGTCAATAATACAAACCATTGAGTCTCCACAAGGAAAGAGATTTCTAGAAGTAAAAACGCATCAAGACTTTGTGCAATTTACAACACAGAATAACCTATTACAATTGGAATAATCACTTGTTTTGCTGAATACAAAGGCGTAAGGTTGTAACCTACACTCAACCACCAGAAAGTTCAGTTCTTCAGGCTAGCTCTGTCACTGTGGCGTGAAAACAGTCACAGACAACATGTAAGCAGATGGGCAAGACCAGGTGCCAATAAAACTTTACAAAAGCAAGTGGCTAACCTGTAGGCCTCAACTGCAAGCCCTGCTCTAAGAGGTGAGAGGCCAGTCAGGAAAGCATGAACTTACTTCAACCCTTGTTGTTTAGAATGAAGATCGCTGTGTTCCTGCAATGTACGTGGTGGTTTTTTCTCTTATGACCAAGAAAGTGGCCACTGTATTTCCAGACGTTGGGATATGCAGTGTAAACAGAATCTAATGGACCCACTGAGAGTAGTGTGACAGATGCAGGACATTCCACCCCCCCACCCCCCACCCCCCAAGAGTCCCAGGGCTCACACAGGCAGGCTGGTGGTGGTACTGACATTCAGAATGATGAGTACTTGGATCTGTCTTCTAGGATCAGGAAACAAAGGAAAACACCCACCAGCATTCGGGTCACGGGACCTGACTCCTCTGGCTACCAACAGACTACGACTAGCCAGAACACATTTGTGTCAAAAATGGATTAACCCTGTTTTATAGGGACCTGTTTTAGAATAAAAAGCAACTAAAATAATCTTCATAAATAAAGCTTCCTGGCACATTTGATTCTAGATGAGAAGGATAAAAACCACCATGAACATACATGGACACAGTGACCAAACAGCCAGTTTGACCTTTTCTAGATTGGCCTACAGACACATTCAGGCCAACAAAAGGTTCGCCTCCTGTGTGTATCCTGGGGTGTCCCAATCCACCTTCGGGAAGCGAAACCGCTAACACCTCCTCAATGGACTTTTCTAAGGACTCTGAGGTCAACCCCCAAAGCTGGACAGGGACGGAGGCATAAATCCATAAAAAATGTTAAATACAGAACTATCACCAGGATTCTCAAAATGCACTTTCAAAATAGGACTGAGGACTGAGCTGGTGAGGGGTAAACACAGCCACCTACATACCTGAGGTTCCCCGTTTTAGAAAAGGGATCAATGCATTCATCCCGTGATAAGATTCGATGAGAGAAAAGCTTCTTTTCAGGGTCTAGAAAGCCTTTTAAAAGAAAAAAGGGCAGAGTTCAAACACTGAAGGTCGTTTTTTTTTTTTTTGTTACTTCTGCATACAGGGAGCTAGCAAACATGGCTCCACACACTGTGTATCTTGATGCTTGCCCTAGTCTTTGTCACTGTGGCCTTGGAGGAAGCCCTGCCCACTCTCAAGATCCCTTTGGTTACTCTGGGTCCCTTACATTTCCATATCAACTTTAGGATCAGGTTGTCAATTCCTGGAAAACAACCACTGGGATTTTGATCAGGCATAAAGTTGAATCTGAGGATTTTGATCTAAGAACATGGTCCTTCCAGTTACTCAGATCTTCTACAATTTCCTTCAACACTGTTTTACAGTTTCCACTGTGTAAGTCCTGCATGCACTCCTCTTGTTAAATGTATTCCTAAAGTATTTTATCATTATTTCATGTAATATTTGATTGTGCATTTGATGAACATTTACTACCAATTTCCACACAAATTGATCCATGACATTAGTTACACTTTCCACAGTGTGTGGACATTCTCTTTTAACTGGCTCTTCGATTTCCTGTACTTTCGTTTCCCTGCTCCCGATTGCTGACAGAACCGGCCGACCAGGTCAACAGGTGCAGCCTTTATTCTGTGTGTCATTCTGCTTTAATGCTAAAAGGCCTCAGAGATTTACTATTTTTGATATTCTTCTAAATAAAACCTTCCTAATTTCATCTCAAGTGATCTGTTAGTGCGTAGAAGGAAAGTAAAGTGTGGTGGCTCCATACAATAAACACCGAACCACAAGGTCCGCAGTTCAAGCCCATCAGCCACTTGGTGGGAGAAATATGAGACTTTCTGTTTCTGCAAAGATTTGAAGCCTCAGAAACCCTCCATAGGGTTGCTATAAGTATGAAAACTAGACAATACTCAACAATAGAAATAAAATGAATTTTGTATATTGATCTAGTACCCTTCAACACTGCTCAATGTGCTCGTTGGTCCTACTCGTCTTCAGTGGATTCCTCTGAAACCGGCAGGACTGCATCTCGGTGTTAATGCCTATATGCCTCGGCTAGGACTCCTACACATCTCAGTGTTGTTGTGTACACGCCTCGGCTAGGACTCCTACACACTGTTGCACACTCTTATCTTGCTCACTGAGTCCGTCAGGCTGAGGAACTGGATTTTGCAACATTCTGTTTTGTGTGACTGCTGAAATCAACTTTTGGCTTTTGTCCTATATTCTGCGGACACGAATGATCTTCGCACACTGGACCAACCTTGCATTCCTGGGCTAGATCCACTTGGCCACGAGAGCAGTCTGGCTCGACTCCGCTCGCTGCAGATGCACCACCCGTCCCCTCCCCTCCCCTCCCCTCGTCACACATCTGAGCCATTGGTGAAACAACACATGTAGTCTGGCCCAAGCAGCAGCCTTGTTTCTGGGCTGGTGTATTGATTCCCTTCTTAATCTTTCAGGAAGCATCATTACAATGCATACTGTTTCCCAGCCATGTTAAAGTGCTTAGTCAGCACCACCTAGCTGCCCACCTGCGATCGTGTGTGCGTACAGCCGACTGCCGAAGGTGAAGACGTGCAGCTCGTAAAGCCGGGCCACCTTCTCCAGGAATTCCTTGCAGTGAGGACGCAGGCGTGTGTGCAGCATTGGTTCACCCCGGCCCAGCTGGAAATGGAAGATGCCCTGAAAAGGATGAGGACCAGTCATAAGACAAGATCCTCACAAGGACTTTCCCAGCTGTGCTCCTCACGACACCGGCCTAGGTTACACGCTGGCTGAGTCACCGTCATCAAGACAATTCCCAAGAGCTCTCTCTCACACACACTCCCCAGTGAACACAATCTCATGAGACGGTTGGAGGGACATAGGAAGGTTCTTAAACTTGCTCAACTATTTTGCCCCACACTACGATGATGATGAGGGAGTCCTGGTGGCACAGTGGGTAAGCGCTGAGCTGCTAACTGCAGCCAGTTAAGGCTAGCAGTTCAAACCCACCAATTGCTCCGTGGGAAAGAGATGAAGCTGTGTGGTCTTGTAAAGCTTTACAGTCTTGGAATGCACTTGATGCCAGTGGCGGGATTATTCTGATGCCAGAAAAAGGAAGACTCCCCCAAAGATGGCATTTATGCCTTTGCTTTTTCAACAATATTCACCAAATCACAAAGCCACAGTAGACTGCAGAGAACACATCCTCACAGAGCTCAGACAGATTTTTACCGAGTTATTGATAAAAGTCAATTAGACATTCCACGAGGACTTAAGACAACAAACATCAAAATGAATATTAAAAGCAAATTAAAATCATTAGTTAAAAGTCTGCTTTAGTAACTAGAATGAAAGAAGCTAGTCTATACTCAAAATCAACTTTTTGATTTTGAGCAGAGTCTAACTTTAGACAAATGAAATTATACTACCAATTGCTTACATATGACTAACATGCAAGTAAGTTTATCGTCTTCAGAAAGTAAAAGCTTTGATCAGTTTATCATTAAATTTCTCAGTAAAAATGCCTATCATTAGCAATGACTTAAAAAGGTCAACTTGGTAGAACAGGAGCTGGGTTAGACCTGAATTATCTCTGAGTCAAGTTCCCCAAGGTGAGGTTGTTCTAGGGAAGTGAGAAATGTGAGATTCCGTCAGCACCTCTCATCTTGCTACTCTTATTAAGTGCCATTGTGGAGTTGATTCACAGCGGCCCTGTACAGCAAGGGTGGGGAACATCTGGCCCACGGGCCGTACGAGGCCCGGGAAATCACTTCTTCTGGCCCTGCCAAGGCAACCGCAGTTACAGCCATCCTACTGTTAGTGTTGTTTAGCACCATTGAGTCAGTTCCAACCCATAACGACCCTGTATAGGGTTTCCGAGGAGCGGCTGGTGATCTTGAACAGCTGACCCTTGGGGTTCAAACCGACTTTGCAGTTCAGTGTACTGACGACTCCAGCCATCACGTTAGGGGTGAGTTAATTCAATGTCTGACCACCAATAGCAGGCTAAATTTTAAGTTGATAATTTTGTATGCCTTGTGAATGAGGTTATATAAATTTTGGCAGAAAAAAGGTTCCCCTCCCCTACTGTATAGGGTTTCCAAGGCTGTAAATCTTTGTGAGAGCATGAAGTCGCTTCTTTCTCCTGTAGAAAGACTGGTTGGTTCAAACCGCCAAACGTGTGGTTGCAGTTCAGTGCTGACTCTCCCAAGCCCCTGCAGCTCTTTATTTAACAGCAAAAAGTCCAATAGTTACAGTAAAACCTCCTGCAAAAGTATAAGTCCATGGTCATGATAATTAACACCAATGAACAACACACTTAAAAACGGTAAAAAAAATAAAAAAACTCTTCATATATATATATATATATATAGCCACAATAATTTAAGAAGTATTTGGATTCCGGAGTTAAGGACCAAGCCTGCCATTTTCCACGCTGTGAGCAGGTTTCTTGGGTGATGACCTACAGGGGTTTTAGGAGGTGTGGCATGTGGGCGGAGAGTCCTGCGCAAACAGGGAAGAGCCTTTAATTAAGCCCTAATGAGCCCATTAGAGGACACTGGGTACTGGGTAGGTGTGGGCTCTGGAGTAAAGTGGAGGGGGGAAGCCACCAGCGACTGTTGGGGTCCAAGTCACTGGGGGGGGGGAGGGGAGTCACGAGGACACACTTTCCCTCCAGATCACAGGCTGACAGACAGGCACCTGATAAGTCACTCAAAGGGTCTCTTACAACTAA